TGATAATGGACTGAACCTCTGAACCTGTAAGCCAGCCCCAATTAAATGTTGTCCCTATAAGTAAGAGTTGCCTTGGTCATGGCGTCTCTTCACAGCAGTAAAACCCTAACTGAGACAGATGGATATCAGGGAACGGTTCGGGATCATTGGACCCAGATAAAGAAGTGACTCTCATCTTCTCTCTCCCTGGGAGATAAGTACGGAAAGATGCCAAGAATAGAAGAGTAGAGAACAGAACCACCTCCAGTGGAGGAATAGAACTGTCCCTAGGATACAGGAACAGGTTCTTTTTTAGCATGTAATTGTAATTTTCTTTCTGCATTGCTTAGTCCCTTTCATTATCCCTGAAAAAAGCAAGGTCCCCACCCCTTCCTGGTCTTAGTCACACTGCAGAGGCTTCAGGGACTAGCCCATGTTCACAATTGACTGGCAGCCCATCTCAGTAGCTCCCCACCCTTGAGTCTCTCTTACGGACAAGCCTGGCCCCCAAAAGCATCTACTTCAGAGATGCCTGGGGGGGGGGGATACCGAACAACAAACGGTGAATACCTATCATGGACATTGGCCCAGCAGGCAGGAAAGAGACATTGGCCCATCTCAACCCTCACCATGGCCAGGAGGGAGGAGATGGCCTTGAAAGGGGATGCATGGCTGGGTACTAGTATCTTCAGAGCCCCCCAGGGTAGCCCAGGGCTCCTCTGCAATTCTAGCTGATTTTCCAATGAGATTATCAATCCAGCCAGGTCTGCCTTGCTTCTGTTCTTGCTGGAAATGGGGATATCTGTCCCAAGCACCACATGTGGTTAGTCCTCCATCGACAACAGGGACAGAGATGTCTGTCTTTGGCACAGAGTCAGGCGTGGTCCTCCATTGAGAAATGGGATAGCAATGCTCATCTCAGGGGCACAGAGCCAGGCATGGTCCTCCATTGAGAAACGGGATGGCAATGCTGATCTCAGGCACAGAAGAGACCCTTCACCTTCTTTCATAAGACTAAAAGAAATTTCCTTAAGGTTCTTTTTGTCCTTTCAGGGGACATAGCACTGCCTGGAGATACCTTGGTTGTCACTAACAGTTTCCGGGAAGAGGCCTGGCCTTGTGCTAAATATCTCAAAATGCATAGAACAGGCCCCACCCATCACAGAAAAGAATTATCTGGCTCAAAATATACACAATGTTACATTCAAGAAACCCTGAGCTAGAATTGTAGGGTAAAACTATGAGGCCTTTTCTACTTCACCCCCAAAGCCATTCTTCTAAAGGTAACTTCTCAACGTCAAGAGAACCCAAGCTGATTTGCCCATCCTTACTGATCCATAGTTTCCAGAGCAACGTTTCACCCATAGTTGGAATCAGCAACAAATATGGATCGTCTCTTTTTGATAATTGTCTCTTCAGGCTTGCGGAGGGTAGGTAATCATGTGCAAGATCTTTCTAAAATTGTTGAGGTAGATATTTAAATAGGCGGCACCCGATCTGTCTTGTGATACGGGGCCGACATGTTCCTGACTAGGCTAGGCGTGAGGTCACGAGCAGCAGCGTGTTCTCACTGCTGCCGCAGCTCAGGCCACCGGCTCAGGCAGCTAGAGATGCTGGCCCTGCCACCCATGAGATTCCAGTGTGGAAGATGGCTCTGCCAATCTTCTACACTGTCTCCACAAGGCTGGGCCCAGACCATTTCACCATCCATGCAGTATTCGGTAGAAATAAGACTCTAATGTTTAAAGATTATCCAAAGGCTTTATATTTGGTAATGTTCAATAACAAGATGCCTACACAATAAGAAGTGTAACCCAATACCCAACCTAGATGTTTCAACTACCTTAGACTGCACATCCATTTTCATGTTCCTCTCTCTCTCTCTCTCTCTCTCTCTCTCTCTCTCTCTCTCTCTCTCTCTCTTTCCCTTTCTTTCTCTCGTCCTCTCCTCTAGTCCCTCCTCTTCCTTCTTTTTTTCCTTTCCTTACTCCTCCTCTTCCTCTCCTCACTCCTCTCACCTTAGCTCCTCCCAAATTTCGGGGAAAATATGCCGCTACATAAAATACTATTATATCACTTAGGTACATATCTGAATATTAATGCTGAGTATCTCTAAAAAAATAACCAGTGAGATTCATGCTAAACAGTCTCCAGCACAGCCTTTTTAAATTTAATTTTTATTATATTTGTTTGTCTGTTGTGTGTATGTGTGTGGACACAGCAGCACTACAGTGTTCACATAGGGTCAGAGGACTCAATTCTTTCCTTCCACTATGTGGGACCCAGGGATGGAACTCAGGCTACCTTCGTAGGCTAAGCCATCTTGTGGTGTCTCCAGCCCCCCGCCCCCACATACACCCCTGCATGCTGTTTATAACATTTTTCTGTATTCATGATAGTACATATTTGCTAACCCGACTGTTTTAAGATGCTGTAATTTCTTGGGGCCATTTCAATAGAAGTTGAAAGAACTCTGGGCGTGAAGAAGTTACCCCCGCTGTAGAAGATCTCTATCCTCAAAGGACAAAGTACTAAAACCAGCAATAAGCCCGGGCACCCACACAATGAAATGTGAACCCTCCCTCCATTCTAGGACATGAATCAAAATCATGTTCCCCTCAGTGCTGAGCTATGGGGGCCTCAGGGAAAGGCAGTAAGAAGCCCCACCCATGCATGTGCTCACTTGAATGGATTAACATGAAAGAGTAATAGGAGGAAGAAAACAGCTGCCACTCAGACTAACTTCACACCAAAAATATCCTAAGAGGAGCTGCATGCTCCAATAGTTTTCTTCTGATAAAGTACCAGAGGCCCTCAAAAAAACACTATCTATACCAAGAACTCTCTTTAGTCACCAAAGGATGGCCCCCATCATTGTTCTCTGATGATCAACAAGACAATAGCCTATTGTGGTGCAGTAATTGCTGGTCACTATAAACACAGTTCTCAGATGAAAAGCCTCTGCTTAGGTTTAGACAGTGAAACCCCAAGCTTTGAAGACTCTGTGGAGTTATTCGTGCCTGTGCAGCCCAGCGCTTGCCCCCTTGATAAGAAATCTGGATACACTCTAGTCAGATCTATAAAAGCAGCCCTCCTGGCCCTCTTCCAGCCAAGCCTGACATCACGGATCCCAAGCTGTGTGGTTGTTATCACACCTGCTGGCTCCCACGGACTGCATGCTGCCCCCTCCTGATAGCTCAGAGATAACCCACAATCCTTGAGGGAATGGGGGCTAAAGGGAGTAATAACTACTCCCCTGGGCTGTCAGAACTGCTCGCCCCCCTTCTGTTCTTAGCTTTGGTCTCAGTCCTTCCTTCCCACTGGGTCTGGAGATGTTGGAGGTCGCTGGCGATGGTTGCTTTCCTCTGGTTGGCGTTATTCTCCTGCCAGAACCTGTCAGGTTGCTGCCAGAGAACCTTTCAACCAAGCAAACTGTATTATTCTGAGTACATGAGTAAGCACTGCTATGGAGGTTGTACTGTGTTGGTGAATACAGGGCAGAACCAGATAGGAATGACCCGTCAGAATCACTGAGAAGGTGATAGCACAGTTGGTAAAGTGCTTACCATACAAGCACGAAAATCTGAGTTCGATCCCCAGTACCTATGTAAAAAGCTGGGTATGGAAGCATGCACTTGCAATCTCAGTGATAGGTAGTCAAAGACAAGAGTGTCCCTCGGGCTTGCTGGACAGGTACCTAACCAAATTATTGATCCCCCAGATGCCAATGAGACCCGGTCTCAAAGAGATAGGTGACCTGGAGAAACGTCTCAGTGATGAAGAGCACTTGCTGCTCTTACAGAGGACCTATGTTTGGTTCCCAGCATCCATGTGATGGCTCAGGTGACTCCAAGTTCCAGGAGATTTGATATCATCTTCTGATGTCCACAAGCACTGCAAGTTCACGGTAAGCACAAAGCACGTATAGACAAAGCACTCTTGAACGTACAAACCTTAGAAATTAAATAAAGTCATAGGGAAAAACACAAAGTGGGTGGTTTCAAAGAATGACACCAATGGCCTCTCTACACACATGCATGTACAGACTCTTTCTCTCTCTTCTCTCTCTCTCTCTCTCTCTCTCTCTCTCTCTCTCTCTCACACACACACACACACACACACACACACACACACACCACACACACACACACACACACACACGAACACATACACCAATGGTTGACCTCTGGTCTCTCTACACACATGCACATACAGACACACACATATAAACACACACACATACCTATACATGCACACATATACTAAGTACATAAACACATAATTTTGAAATGATTTAGTGAGGGTCCCAGCTATAAGTCAGGGTTTCTTAGTTTTTGTGGCAATGTCCCCAGAGACCCACTGTAACCAAATTCCTTGCCAAGAAACTGGCCTTATATATTAGCATCCAGACATTGGAGGGATGTCACAGATGATGCTCCTGATTAAAGATGTTCCTGGAGACTACGACTAGACGCTGTGCTGCCCAAGGCTGGACAGCATCCTTACCTAAGGGTTAATTCTTTCCCTCTTAGTCCACTGGGGCCATCTGTCCCCTTCCTGGCCTCCAGGGCATTCCGGTGTCTGTACTTCTTTCTTGGGGCCATTTGATCACTATGTGATGCACAGGTTTCTCAAAGCCACCTGGGACATCTGTCCTAATCCCAGGGACGAATAAGCAGAGTTCATGGGACTTCACTCTGGCTGCCATCTTAGGCAGCTTCTCTCTTTAGCACACACTGCTAAGAACCAAAGCTGAGGGTTAGAGACCAGCAAGGTCCTTCATTTACTCGAGGGTCACCCCCAGGGGAAGGGGAAGGCCCTCTGCAGCCCACCTCACTGTACAGAATTGCTTTATAGGCAAAGCCACACTGCTGTCATGAGAGCGCAGGAGGATGCAGGATTCCTGCCTAACACAGGTAACCAATGAGCAATGAGTTTGCTGGAGTGAGTCTCCTGTCACCCCTGTGTTCACATCAGTCTGGCTCTAACCCCCGCAGCTAAAGGTCGTTCAGATCTCCTACCTTAACAAGGCGGTGCTAGTGACATTGGCTGGAACTCTGCCAGGCCAGTAAGCGAGTGCTGGGACCCGATGCCCACCTTCCCAGGTGGTCTGCTTGGCTGGACTTCCCCCTATGAGAAGAAGCAGTTGTTTCAGGAACATCAGTAACTTGAGGCCTCTTCTTCAGCTAAGTGATGGCCTGTGGGTAAACAGTGTCTCGATAGGAATATCCAATAATTTCAACAAAGAAATGTCTTTCTTAAAAAAATAAATTTAAAAAGCTGGGCAGTGCTGGTGCAGGATTTTAATCCCAGCATTTAGGAGGCAGAGGCAGGCAAAAATTTAGCCTCTGAGGTTGAGGCTAGCCTGGCTTACAGGGTGAGTTCAGGATGGCCAGGCCTATACAGAGAAACCCTGTTTCAAAAATCCAAACCAAACAAAAACAAACAAACAAACAAACAAAAAGAAAAGAAAGAAAAACTTTAATTATCTTACTACCCAGCTATGTGTCCCCAACAAACAGTTAATAACTCTCAGTATATCCTTCGATTTTATTGGACTTAACATATATAAACAGAGACCTCTGTTAATTTTGGCAGTTCCTTTCATGACATCCCCCACTCTAAACTGTGTTATTTTATTCCTTCCTTCTTGTGTGTCCCCACACTATGAGACTTCAAGACATCCCGTGTGCTTAAGGAACCTTTGTTGAATAGATGGATCTGTCTTCCAGTTGAGCATGTCTGATTAGGATGAGGAGAGAGGGAAAGCAGACCCCTACAAACTGGCCTACCTAGCGTGCGAGACGCCATCGATATTCAACCACTAGTACTCAACAATAAATAGAAGCAACAATCCTTTGAAAGAGGGAGTCTCCTCAGCTTTTTAATCCGCCCAGTGCCTGGCTGACCTTGTGCGGATTTGTTTTGTTTTGTTTTTCCTTGAGTCAATGAGTTGTTCTGATGAGACAGTTATCAGTCATGGCTCTGAGTGCTTGCCTCTTGGCGGGAGGCAAGAAGAGCCCATGTGCAATCTATGAACTTTAGTGATGAGAGGCATTATTTTTGTAGCCAAGTCAAGAGTGACCACCAATATAATGACAGCCCGTGGGATGGAAGAGATGAGGTCATGTTTTATGAAAACATCCTGAATACACATGTTGCATTGAATTAACCACGACGGGGCCCCGGCACTCCCACATACACACACACACACCCCACCCTCATCCCTGGTTGAGCCAGAGGCCAGGGATTCCACAAGGTTCGCGTGTAAGAAGTTCTTCCAAGACAAGTGCTGTATGTGGCTCACACACGCTGTGGTCATGCGACTTCCCCCAAGTTTGGCTGGTGTAAATAAGAAAAGCAATCATGGGTGGGGAGTCAGGGCGACTAGAATGAAGGCTTCCTCCCTCTGTATTCTCACTGCCTCAAAAAGAACCTTTGATGTCCCTGGCTCAGCATACCATCCCGGAAAATCTCCAAATTCCTGGGGCTAGCACATAAGGAGCTCCGGGAGTGTTGATATAAGGAACTGAACACAAAGCGACTCCCACCCTATGGACTGTTTACATCTAAGCCTGTTAGGTTCAAGAAACCAACAGAATCCCCATCACTGTGAACTGAAAAGCTCTTTGATCTAATCCAGCATTTCTCAAGCGTGTACTTTCCTCTGGAGCCTTTTCTTTCAAAAAAAAAAAAAACACATTAGACCACTCCAATTATCCACACACGTGGAACAGAAAAATCTAGAACTGTGGCAGAGCATAAAACGAATTTCTACGTGGGTTCAGAATACCCAGCATGCTTCAGTTTAAGGCCAAACGGCAATGAGTACACATGCAGACATGTGCTGGGGAATCTGTGGGTCTTTCCAGCCCTGGGAGGGGCATTTGCGTGGACAGTTTTGGTATGAGTGGGTGGAAATATGGGGCCCTTTAATTTACAGCCCATGATGCTTAACATTCAAAGGTCCCTGCTTAACCTTTTGAGGCCAGATGCTAAGGCAAGGCCAAGGCTTTGGATTCAAGAAGTAAATCATTATCTCTAACCGGAAAGCAGGAGGTGTAGCTCAGCTCTGTGACAGGCCAAGGGGCACCTGTTCACAATAATACTTTGGGCAGCTCCTTTGCAGATGACTGACCTCCCCCAGGGAGTTTCTCAACGGAAACAGTTTCATTGTGCTTGCCATCTCTCAGCGGAGGGTCAGAAGCTGGAGGGGTTAGAAAGAACTGTGCTGGCAGCAAATGTATCTGTTAACATGGTGGAAAGTTCAGCAACTGATGGGGAAACGGTTGGCCCGTAGAGGCCCCTCAACATGGCCACGTGGGTGGAGCCAGTCAGCTAATCCAGCTGCACCTAAGGTTCTAATTTTAGTCATGATTATTTATTCCAGCCATCCAAATGATCCCTGTCCCACAGTCCTTGTACGCCAAAGGAATTGAGCCTTGAGTCCTGAGTGTGGCCAAGCAATCACCAAAAATATTGATCACCTGCCACACACACACACACACACACACACACACACACACACACACACGTTGCTCTGCTCCAAACCCCAGTTTCTCACTGCTAGGAGTCAGGAAGAAACGTCTCCCTGGTATCTTCTTCCATAGGCCTTCCAAGTGGTGGAGTGCCGTTATCAGCCACGTGTGCTTATCCAACTGGTTTCCCGTGGTTTGTCTGTGCTGGCAAGGACAGAGTCCAGAGTAACCGCCTCTATAGGACGGCTGTCTCTAGGCAGTTATTTTCGTCCTCATTCTGAGCTAAAGATAATAGTAACAACAACATCATCTATTAACTGACCCCTTATCAAATGCCAGACTAAGTGTTTTTAAATACACGGCTAAGTGCTTTTCTACGTAATCTCATCAAATTTATCTAACAATCCCTTGTACGTTTATTTGTGTGTATGTGCACACATACACGCATGTATCCACCCTTGTGTGTGCACCGAGATTTGCATGTGGAGGTCACAGGACAACTTTGGGGAACTGGTTCTCCCCTCTCACTATGGGTGTTGTGAGGATCAGACTTAGGTGTCTGGGCTCCACTGCAAGCGCCTTCATCCACTGAGCCACCCCGTCACCCCCTGTATGACAATCTTTCATACCACACACTACGATCTCTGGTGTTTATTCGAATGAAAATGCTCAAAAAGGTTAAGTAATTTTTTTTTTCTCAGTATTGAGGTGAGAACTTGGGGCCTTTCCTGTGCTAAGCTCAGTTACATCTGCAGCCCTGACGCTTTTTTTTTTTTTTTTGAAACAAGGTCTCACCAAGTTGACCGGGCTAACCTTGAATTCACTATGCAGTCTAAGCTACACTCAAATTGTCAAATGTCCTGCCTCGGCTACCGGAGTAGCTGGGATGGCAGGAATCTGCTACCTACCAGCCCAGGATGAATTTACATAGCTAGTAAATCCAGATCAAACTACACAGCATAGCACAGCGTTCCACATCCAAAATGCATGTCAGAACCACTGCTTTTAAAACACCATGGTAAGGCCCGTCTCCTAGAGGCAGTCATTGGCTGGCCTGACTGGGGGGGGGGGGGGGGGCGCATCAATATCTTATAAAGCTCTCAGTAATGTAACCTGGACAGGGCTGATTCCCAGGTTAGATGGGAAGCAGACACAATGCACTTCAAAGCCAAATGTAGCTTATGTGCTTTTTTGTATGTGATTGTTCATAAGTAGGTATACATGTGGAGATACATGTGGAGATACATGTACATGAGTGTGGGTGTGGAGGCCACAGGTCAGCCTTTTCAGTTTTGGTTTGTTTTTTTTTTTGTGACCCAGAGAAGCTAAGCTGCCTTCTCCCATTCAGACCATTTAATTTCCAAATAAGGGGAAAAAACCTACCAAGCACAGTAGCTCATGCCTATAAGCCCAGGATTTGGAAATCTGAGACAGGAAGATTACTTCTAGTTCACCGTTAGCCTGGGATATATGGTAGATTCTAGGCCAGATTGGGCTACAGAGTGAAATAGTATCTCAAAAATTAATTAATTAATTAACCCCTCGGTAGACTTGACCTATGACCAACTCATTTCTCACCTTTTCCTATCCACTGATTAGTAAACCCCGGACTGTTTCCTGATCACTCTGGGGACCTGGGAATTGTCAGAAACACAAGAGACCAAGCTGTTGTGTTTTTTATTGGCCTAAGATTCTGAGAGCGTCAGGAAGTGAGGAAGCCCCAACTGAGGCTTCACCCTCCTTACCTAATTTAAACGTCTGGGACTCAGAAAGTGCAGTCACCGCCCAGGCTTTTCCTCTGCCTCCTGAACCCTCCAATCTCTGAGACATTTTTTCTTCTCTACTATGGGTTTCAGGACAGGGCCACACTGACAGGCGATCTATGACAGCTGGCTTCACCATGTGGAAGCAAGTCTGACCCCTGCTCTATAGTCCCTCCCACTGCTCCTCAAGTCCAGAGGCCTTGGTGCCCTGCAGTGACTCATAACCTCACACTTCCATCCCACTTCGTGAAGAGCTGGCTGGCTGTCTAATTCCCACATTCAGATCAGGGTCTCAAACTCCAGCCAACACACACACCCAGGAACCGCTAGCCAAGCACAGCAATGGCGGGAGAGAATGGGAGAAGACCTCAGAGTCTCCCAGATCAGCCTTTGCTCTAACCACACAGCAGTCAGCTCATCAGATTTAAAGACCCAGGTCAGCTGACTTCCCTCTGCCTCCCCATTGGCTCTAGCATAAAGTCTTTAAGAGATGATTAGCTAGAGGTCAACCTTGGGCACCTTCTTCAGGGGCTATCTCCCTTATTTTCTGAGACTCTCACTTGACCCCGAACTCAGTTGTTAGGAAGCAAGCCTGGGCAACATGCTCCAGAGAGCCGCTTGCCTCTGCCTCTCCAGCTCTGGGATTACAAGCATGAACCATCAGGCACCACATTTTTAACACGGGTTCTAGGGATAACTCGGGTCTTCATGCTTACAAAGCAAGCATTTTTACTGAGTTATCTCCCCATCCTGTGTTCTTTAAACAGACCACACCTTTATCCCGTATGCCTGCTGTAGCCTTAAAACCATGACCTCATAAGTTACAGCAGAAAAACAGCTAAGCCCACAGCTTATAAGCGTCTATGCACTTTTCGTTATAGAAAGCTGT